GGCATGATCCTGGAGCCCCGGGATCAAGTCCCACATCAGGCTCCCTGCATGGGGCCTGCTTCTGCCTCTGCCTGTAACTCTGTCTCTCTCTCTCTTTCTCTCTCTGTCTCTCATGAATAAATAAATAAAATCTTTAAAAAATAAATAAATAAAGACTGAGGTGAAAATGGGGGTGAAGTCCTCTTTCATAATCAGTTCATTTGAAATCACAATAAAATATTTTCCTATATAATGAAGAATAAAAGTATATGCCATTAAAAATTAATCAGTCCAGCAGCTGGCACATAATTTCACTTTTTGATAATAAGGGGCAGATAATATTAAACATGTTAAAAGGTGACAAAAGGTTCAGGATTGTAGTATTTATATATACCTTTTTGAGGAAGATTTTATTTATTTATTCATGAGAAACACAGAGAGAGAGAGGCAGAGACACAGGCAGAGGGAGAAATGGGCTCCATGCAGGGAGTGGGACTTGATGTGGGACTCGATCCCAGGACCCAGGGTCATGCCCTGAGCCAAAGGCAGATGCTCAACCACTGAGCCACCCAGGTGCCCTGTATTTATACGCTTCTGATGATGGATAGAAGTAGAAAAATGTTCACCATTAACCCAGAACGCTGACCTATAGCCCACATAGTTCCAATAAGGATCAAATACGTCCTGGTTACTACATTTTTAAAGGGTCTCATGACTGCCGGTACATCTCACCAATAGTTAATATGGAGCTGAATGATAAGCACCAAAGGAATCTTGTGAAAGTAGTTTTAAAAGTAGTGATCTGAAGAAGTGTGGGGCCCAGGAAATTTAACAAAAATCCCCTACCCCTGGACAAGCAGAGCAGGACTAACTCCATTTTGTGCTGCACCCGCCACCTCCTGTATGACCCCCACATGACCTGCTTATTGCTTAAGGCGCTGCCCCACCCTAGTCAAGCCAGCTGGGCACACCCTTATTGGAAATCGGTTCATAATAATGTAACCCCACCTTGTGCCCGCCAAAACCGCGTGCCAATTCTGACCAAAGTAATAGGCCAGCTCAAATGGATACTATAGGGTAAAATGTAATTCAATCGGCCACCTGCATGTGGACAGACGTGACTGCAACTTTCCGCATTGTATGTTACAATCCCATGGGCCACTGGCCCCTAATAAAGCTGCTATGCCTCTTAGTCCCAGGGTCCAAGTGTCTGCTCCACTGTGTTGGGTACCCTTGGACCCAAGCTCGAGCTTGTAAATAAACCCTCGTGTGTTTGCATCGGTGTCGGCTCCTTGGTGGTTTCTCGGATTTGCACAACAGAAGACATTTATGATCTACTCCCTGCACACCCCCTCCCCCTTGAACAATAAGCAAATATCCACCAGCTTCGTACAACAAAAGGGCAGCTCTTTCTGCACATGAGTCCTGTCCACATGCTATATTAAAAGCATTTTTTGCACTAAAAATACCTCAAGAACTTTTTCTTGACCATTTGCGCCCCATGCCACATCACTTCCATTATGGAATTTTATAGAATAAGTATATCAGATAGGACAGCCTGGGTCCTGCTACGGTAACAAACAATAAAATTGTACGACTTAAAACAACGAAAGCTCATTTCTCACCTAAGCTATGTGCACGTTGTGGCTGACAGAGCAGGATCCACTTCTCATAACCACTCAGAGGACTACACTGACAGAGCAAGGACGCTCCACACCAGACAGAAGAGGCCTCTGGAGAGTTCCATATGAGTGAAGGTGATGCTTCACTTCTATTCACAACTCATCGGCCAGAAATAGACATATGGCTTTATGGGATCCCAAGATTGCCACGAGATGCACTCCTACCTGATGCCTGGAAAGGGGAGGAATGGTAAATAGTCAGTAAACTGTATCAGTGATTTCACAGCATGGCTTTTGGTTTTGGGTTTTGTTTTGTTTTGTTTTTAAGTAAGCTCTAGGCCCAACATGAAGCTTGAACTCACGACCCTGAGATCAAGTCACATGCTCCACAGACTGAGCCAGCCAGGCACAGCACCCCCACAGGATGTTTTAATCTTTATTGAATAACACATACCAAATCTAAAATAAAATTATGACTCATTTGCACATTATCCCAGTGTGATGTGAAAAATATGAAGGTTCCTTAAAATAATCCATTCTATATTAATCAATAAAATAATCAATGTCATTAAACCTCTATTCCTTCAGCTTCAAACTTGCTTTCCTTTCCAGATAATGACATGTCCTACAGATAAGAATTAAGAATAGCTGAAAATAATTACTTATGTTTAAACATGTGGGAAAAAATTGAGGGTTCAATATTCTTTAATGCCTTGGCTCTGCTTTCACCAGACTATCCTTCAATAACTATGCACTTCTGAGCTACAGAGGTTGATGATTAAAGGAGATTTTACTATCACTCCTGCCATTCACACTCACAGAGTATATCTGATTTCAGAAAATCACAACAAATATCCTATTACTGTATTTCTAACAGCCATACTTCATCCTTACCTGGAATGTACATCAGACAAGAAGAGGCAGGAAGCCTAAGAAGGGTTTACGGTGCCTTGATTGGTCACGAAAGAAAGCTTCACCCAAAACATATTAAATTGTTCCTTTGTCATCTCTCCTTTGTGTCTCTCTCATGAATAAGTAAATAAAATCTTAAAAAAAAAAAAGATGATGTGAGTTTTAATTCTTGCTGTGTCTAATGGCAAGGAATATTTGCCATAGAATATGATGAGTAATGAAACTGTGTACGTGAGAGGCTTTCCATTTTACCACAACCTAGAGTAGGAAGCATATTTTACATTATGATCCGATACATGCATATTGTTTCATGAAACAATAATTACTCTCATTACATGTGATGCACTCTGATAGTCCCATTCTAATGTCTTTTAATGCTGCTCAGAACCTACTAAATTGATTTCACAACCAACTAATGATTCATAGCCCACAATTCTATTTTTTTTAAAGATTTTATTTATTCATTAGAGAGAAAGAGCATGAGGAGGGTGGAGGAGCAGAAGGAGGGAAAAGAAGGCTCCCCACTGAGCAGAGACCCTGACACAAGGAAGATCCATCCCAGGACCCTGAGATCATGACCTGAGCTGAAGGCAGATGCCACCCAGGCGCCCCTCATAGCTACAATTTTAAAATGTTGAGCAATAGGTATAGAAATTTATAATGAGGGATGCCTGGGTGTCTCAGCAGTTGAGCATCTGCCTTTGGCTCAGGGCGTGATCCTGGAGACCTGGGATCGAATCCCACATCGGGCTCCCTGCATGGAGCCTGCTTCTCCCTCTGCCTATGTCTCTGCCTGTCTCTGTGTGTCTCTCATGAAAAATAAATAAAACTTTTTTTAAAAAGAAATCTATAGGGACGCCTGAGTGGCTGAGAGTTTGAGCGTCTGCCTTTGGCTCAGGGCGAGATCTTAGAGTTCCAAGATCAAGTCCCACATCGGGCTTGCTGCATGGAGCCTGCTTCTCCCTTTGCCTGTGTCTCTGCCTCTGTGTGTGTGTGTGTGTGTGTGTGTGTGCGTGTGTGTGTGTCATGAATAAATAAATCTTTTTCAAAATCTATAATAAAACTCTGTTTAATCAGATTGCCTTTAATGGCAATCTCTGATTATAAGAAGTGCCCCTAAAAAAAGCCTTAACTTGGAAGTACAAGTGGGTAAACCAAGCCTGGAAATCAATGTCTGTAAGAGGTTAAATTTTGATCCTGAGATGAAGAGATTATTCTGAATTATCCAAGTGCATTCTACATGCAATTACATGTATCCCTATGAGAGGCAAACAGTAGGAGATCTGAGAAGGTGATGTGAAGAGGAGGTAGAGAGATATTTGAAGATGCTAGCCTTGAAGATTGGAGTGAGGTGGCCAAAAGTCAATGAATGCCAGTAACCACCACAAGCTGAGAGAATCAGGACGCCTGGGTGGCTCAGCAGTTGGGCATCTGCGTTTGGCTCAGGGTGTAATCCTGGAGTCCCAGGATCGAGTCCCACGTCAGGCTCCCTGCATGGAGCCTGCTTCTCCCTCTGCCTGTGTCTCTGCCTCTCTCTGTCTCTCATGAACAAATAAAATCTTAAATTAAAAAAAAAAAAAAGTTGGGAGAATCAAAGAACTGATTCTATCCTAGAGCCTCTGGAGGGAGTGTGGTCCTGTCAACACTTTGATTTTGGCCCAGTGACACTGACTTTGGACTTCTGGCCTCCAGAACCGTGAGAGAATAAAGTTCTGATGTTTTAAGCCCCCAGGTTTGTGGTATGTTGTTACATCAGGCTCAGGAAATTAATAGGAACTCCAAAAGCTTCTTAATGAGAGTCATATTGCTAAGTGCCCAGAGTGTTACCAAAATCCAAGTTTAGCTGCCTGTCACTCATAAAGACAATACTCAACAAACAAGTTTTGATTGGAAAGGAATATGAGCTTTTTTCTTTTTCTTTTAAGATGTTATTTATTTACTCATGAGAGACACAGAGAGAGAGAGGCAGAGACACAGGCAGAGGGAGAAACAGGCTCCCTGCAGGGAGCCCGAGGTGGGACTCGATCCCGGGTCTCCAGGGTCACCCCTGGGCCAAAGGCGGCGCTAAACCGCTGAACCACCTGGGCTGCCCAGGAAAGAATATTGATCTTTATACAGGAGGCCAGCAACCTGGGAGAAGGCAGACGCCCGTCCTAAGGCCAACTCCGAGGCTTCTGTGGGGCCAAGGATTTTTTTAAAGGGGTTCAGGGTGGTTAATCAGTCAAGGGAGTGCAGTGGTCCATAACATTTCTTGTACTGTGCAGACTTAATGGTGCCAGCTACAGACGTTTTCACAGCGCACAGAGGCTGTGCAAGGGAGTCTGGCTCCTTAGCGTGGGGCACTGAGGTTGCCCGGCACGTGCAAAGGGTCTGGTTTCTGTTTCCAGACACGCAGAAGGGCTCTATTCTTTTCTAGGAAAGAATGCATGATCTTAAGATTTAAAAAAGATAAAAAAAAAAAAAAAAAGGTTTCATTAATCAATCACACGGGCTAGGGGTGGTTGCTAAAGCTTCAAGACTATTAGGTTGGCCAGAAAGACAGAAGCAGCTTCAAGAGTAGCCACTTGGGGCACCTGGGTGTTGAGCGGGTGCCGAGCGTCTGCCTCGGCCTCAGGTGGTGGTAACACAATTCTATAGGAGGGAAGAGAGTGTCAATAGGATACCCTCCAGGTATAGGGCTGGCTGCTCATGCGCCCTATTTCCAGGGTACAGGTTACAGTCTTTCTGAAAGGCCTCGAAGAACGCTCAGAAAACAAGTGTTCCCAGCCCAACTCTCAGTCGATAAATGCTTCGTACAAGGCCCAGGCGGTGTGGCCTGCCTGACAGCCGGTTTAGCACGGAGGGAAATACGGGAATTCTACGATCTGCGGAGGAGTCAAATACCCCATCCCTCCTCCCTGAAGAAGCTTCCGGGCCAGCGGGGAGACCCACAGGCAGCCCGAATCTACCCTAATCCTGCGAAAGGGAGTCGAGAATGGCCTTCTACAGACGGTACTACCGGACCACTAGAGGAGGAGCGGGAAGGGGAACGCGAGGGCAGCGGCCTCCCCGATGGGCCGGAAGACCCTTCCGCCCCAAGTCAGGCAGCGCCCCCGGAGCGCGTCGAGGCCTCAGCCCGATGCAAAGGGAAAGAAAACAGGAAGAAGGGAGGAACGGGGCGGGGGGGCGCATTCCTCCTTCACTACGTGGCACGCGCATAACCACTACGGAAGGCAGCACTGTAAGGCATTTCCCAGCAAAATACATTCAGCAAACCCCGCAAGACGTTCCCGTAGGGCGACGGTCTCCGTAAACCACCTTCGCCGCTCCGCCTACGCGGCGCACGCCCCTCACTGCGCAGGCGCCAGGGATGACCTCTGAGGCCTCCGAGCGAGAGCGCTAGTAGTTCCGGGTTCCCCAGCGCTCCGCTCTAGCCGCAAGCTTCCGTTTCTCCGCTGCTCTCGGTGGTAGGCTCCCTCCCGCGGGAGCGTGGAGCCGGGCCCGGGGGGCGGGCCTTCCGGGAGAGGGGCGCGTGGGAGAGGAAGGTCGCGAGGAGGTAAGGGTGTCCGAGAGCTTTGGGGTGACGGGGTGACGGGGTGACGGGGGTGACGGGGGTGGGGGGTCTGCCATGAGAGACGGGCGGTCGTTGGAGAGGTCGTGCAAGGGTCTCCGACCGTCTGGAGTCCCCAAGAATAAGAAGAGGCGATTTCATTATCAACCAGCTCGGAGGCTTCACACCACCCTGCAAGCAGGGTGACCCTTTCCTGCGTAAGTTGGGGACTTTCCCGAACGCAGGACGCTAGCGTAGCTTCCTCTCTTCCTGGTTAGGGAGCGGGCACGGCTCGGTTCCTCAGCTCCTCACGCGGCATTTCTGCACCGTAGCTGGGGGCGGGGAGAGGAGATGCGAGTTAATTTTGTTGCCGGTTGGAAAAAAAAAAAAAAAATATTTGCGGGTGCCTGGCTGGCTCGATGGGTAAAGCGTGCGACTCGACCTCGGGGTCTTCGAGCCCCAGCTTGGGTGTAGAGATTATAAAAAATAAATAAATAAAATGCCGTACCGGGGCGAGCGCCGGCTGACCTGACACCTGCTGCAGCACAGGCGAGCGGGGTCCGGTCAGTTGCAGGGGATCGGAGGCGTTGTCGTCGGACTGAGTCAAGCGGGCATAGGTTCAGAGCCGTTCACGTCCCTACGACCCGGTGGAACGATTAGTACCAGACTTTAAGAATAATAAAACATCACGTTTAGGTGGTTTCTCTGGGAGCTACGTGTGCAGAAGGTGTGGGTTCCCCGAGGCCTGATGAGTAGGAGCGCACCCACCGTGCACCTGAGTTTTGAGGTCAGCGCCCACGCAGGGAGGCGTCTACTTGTTCTCAGGTGGGAGGTGAGGAAACCGAGGCAAAGAACCGTCGCTGCTGCAAACACGACGTCGGCATCAAAGCGCAAGAGTCCAGAGATGGTGCTTTCCGCTAACCAGTGGTTTTCTGAGAAACTGGAGAAAGCTCACCCCCCCCCCCCCGCATAATTTGCGCACAGACACACACACACACAGGCACGCTTCGTACCGTTTTAAAGTTCCAAGGGATTCGCCGCGCTCAGGGATACCCAGGTTAGGAACTCCAGCTCTTCAGCTGCCCTTTTCAAAGGAAAAAGGCAAAACTAATCCAGAGCCAAAACTTGAACTTTCAAATGCACCGAACCTATCCTAAAAATCAAAGAAACTTGCCCTTTTATGCCAAAGTAAAAAAAAAAAAAAAAAATGCATTTTCTTGTGTGGGCTTATTAACATGTCTTGCTCCAGCCCAGCACATTTGAAAATAGATGTGTGTGTGTGTTTTATTTATTTATTTTTGCTTAGCATTTCCCACTCCAGTTAATTTTTCTTTATTCTGTTTTCTTAAGATCACATTTAAGGAGAAATGACGTTTTTTTTTAAATTTTTTTTTAATTTTATTTATTTATGATAGTCACACACAGAGAGAGAGAGAGAGAGAGAGAGAGAGAGAGAGAGAGAGGCAGAGACACAGGCAGAGGGAGAAGCAGGCTCCATGCACCGGGAGCCGATGTGGGATTCGATCCCGGGTCTCCAGGATCGCGCCCTGAGCCAAAGGCAGGCGCCAAACCGCTGCGCCACCCAGGGATCCCGAGAAATGACGTTTTTAAGTGACCGTCTTGTACAATGAAAATTCACTGATGTAAATTATTTGCCTTTAATGTCTTGAACACAATCATTCTTTTAAGATAAAATTGGAAGATTGTGTAAGGATGCATACTGGGTCCTGAAAAATCCTAAGTAAGGCTCTCTCCCCAATTAAAAAAAAGAATTTAAGATAGTAAAAAGTGACCATCTGATAGTCTTAGTACCAGTATTTACAGACAACAGAACGGCTTAGCTGTTTTAGTCTGTGTTAAAAGAAAAGCATACCAAGCTCCTATGCCTTTCTTCGTCAGAGATATATGTCTGGTCTGTCTGGAAGGAGACTACAAAGCAGTAATTGATAATTGTTATAATCATTTTCAATTTTTTTCTTTTGGCAAATGGTTCTTTATTACTAGTAAGGGATTCAGGTTTGAAGAGGCTTATTTCCTCCTTTCTCCATCATAAAAGTTTTAGGACTTGGATTTTGTGGTATAACCACGTCCCAGTGGATTCTGAGACCTCGTTACTTCTCAATGTCCCAGTAATTTGCTACATTGCAAAGTGGGCCTGCACAGAAGTTAACATCCTGTGGTGGTTTCAGTGACCACTTATTTCCCAAGGAGTCCCTTCCTCTTTGCTGTCTGTCAAGTTACCAAGCTGCTGGTCCCCTCCCTTGTGTTTCTCTGGCTGTCAGTTTTTATAAGTAAAGATGTCATTCCAGGGATTTAGAGGTTTAACTGCATGGAGTGTGTTTCTCCTGATGAAGTTAGATGAAGACAAGGAATAGGGGGCACCTGGGTGGCTCAGTGAGTTAAGTGTCTGCCTTCGGCTCAGGGTCACGATCCCAGGGTCCTGGGATTGAGCTGCACATCGGGCTCCCTGCTCAGTGGGGGGCCTGCTTCTCCCTCTGCCCCTGCTCATGCTCTCTCTCTCAAATAAATAAAAATCTTTTTAAAGATGTATTTTTAAAAAATAAATAAGGAAAAGGAATAAATAACTGTGCCCGACTAGATCATATGAACCCCAAACCTAAAAACACGTTTAGGTTTTTTTCTTTTCAAGTTACCCTTTACGGAGTGCGACGGCTTTAACTTCTCCCTCTTATTTCTAACTTATTTCCACAAGCTTTGTTTCCCAAAAAGGAAAGTCAGATTTAGAAAACCACTAACTTTAACCCAGCCAATAAATGGCAGAGCCAGGATGCAAACCCAGGCCTCAGGACTCCATGCTGCCTCTTCATTTAAAAATATAAGGTGAAGGAATTCGGAACACATAAGTGAGAACACTGCAACAAAACAATAGTTTTGACCACCAAATAACTGTGAAAATACTGTGCACTTGCAACAGAAATCTATTCAAATGCCATTATAGCAATTAAGCACAAACAAAGCAAAGTTGACTAAGAAACCATTATTTTTAGTTTTGTTTTTTTAATCTCATGTTTGAAAAAAGGTAATTTTAACTGAAGGGAGAGAAAAAATAAAGCATGCAAAGACACTGTAGCCTCTAAAGGCAACTTGCAGGTATCTGCAAGGCACTGATTTGTTACTATTTCCTATTTATACATTAAACTGTTAATGCCCTTTTTTTCTCATTGATGAACTATAACCCTACCCCTAAGGAGGCAGCCCAGCCCACTCCTGCCCACACAATGGAGCTAGAGTTGAGAAGGAAGTGAATCTGAGAATGGGAGTCCTGAAAGGAAAAGGAGGAAGCAAGGCTTGCAGGTGATCTCCAGTTTGGAGGGACAGGGAAGAGACCCTGGATCCGACAGTTTTCCCATTTCTGGCCTTCAGATGGCACTATTGGCTCATTTGGTTGGTGTTCAGATTGTTAAATGGTTTGAGATTGACATTCTGCGATTAGTTTGAGGTCAGCCTCTGTTCTTTCAATGCATCTAGAAATAGACATGAAAAATTCCTTAATTTAAACACAGGTTTTGGGTTTGTTTGTTTTTTTTTTTTTTCTTAACAAGAGTTATTTTGAAATTTACTTGGCCTCATTCTTGTTTGGGTTTTAAGATTTTTTTTTTTTTAATAGTAAACTCTGCACCCAACATGGGGCTTGAACTCATGACCCCAAGATCAAGAATCACGTGCTTTACTGACCAAGTCAGCTGGGTGCCCTAGAGGGTCGGGTTTTTTGTTTTTCAGTTTTTTTGTTTGTTTTTGTATATTTCTCCCATTGTTCTTTCAAACTAGGTCTATGCCTTTTTTTCTGTTTATCAATTCCTTTTCATCCCCACAGAACTGTCCCCAAAGATGGTCTCTCATCTCAAAGGTTCTCATCTCACTACAAAATTTCACATAAATTAGCATATCCTGCCAGAGGTGACCTCTACATCTGGTCTGGAATGGAATGAGACAGTTATTTCACCAACAGCATTCCTGATTTTCATGTATAGCCCATATAATTTTTTATATATATTAGCTGTAATTTCTGCATATGACATATTATTCTTGTACTTATTTCAACATTCTGTGCCTCTGAAGAAAAAGATACTGTTTTTAGCTAATGACTTAGGTAGTATGCATTAAGACAATATAGAAGATGGAAGATAACCTTATAACCTATAAGTCCTTCTATTCAGGAATAAAATGAATCTTAAAGAGCTGCTGAGCTATCTCTGTTTTGTTTATCCCAAACGGCTCTCAGTCTCTAGGCAGAATTCAATCCAGCAACCTAGAGGCTAAATGACCTCATAACTCATTAGCAGTTCTCAGAGCCATCTGGAGCCCTCGAGGAGAACAGTGTTCAAAGGGCTGATAATAAAGACAACAGGATAATTATTTCTCTGCCATGATTAAACCTTTAGATGGCAAACAGTCAGCATTTTTATTCTACAGATTGCTGAGATGGGTGTTTTCTAAAGGTATAATAATGCTGTGGTTGGATAACTCATTTGCCCATCCTCATCTAGCCTACAAATGGGTAAACTGTCAGTAAATAACAGAATGGTTCGCTGTAAAAAGGGCAGCACAGCAAGGCAATAGTATGGGAACATCAAATGTAAAACTTAGAAATGGAAAGCATGTAAAGGAAACAACCATTTGGACTGTGGATATTTCTCCATTCCAAGGCATGCCCTGCCCGTCACAAGACTGATTCACGTGTGGCTGGCTGTTTTTATTTCTAAAGTGTTCATTAGATAATCTTGGAATTTCATACACTAACCTGTTTATCTTCTCATTTCCTGTAGGGCCTCTTGCTGCTCAGGAAATGTCTTCCCTTTCAGAATATGCCTTGCGCATGACTCGTCTGAGCGCCCGGCTGTTCGGTGAAATTGCCAGGCCTACTGACTCCAAATCAATGAAAGTGGTGAAACTGTTTAGTGAGCAGCCTTTGGCCAAGAGGAAGGAGACTTATGACTGGTATCCAAATCACAACACTTATTTTGCACTCATGGGGACACTACGTTTCCTTGGCCTCTATAGGTAATGGCAAAGAACACAAATAGTAACCTGTAAGAGATTTTTTTCCAGTAGATTAGAGAAGGAAAAAGCCTTTTTTATCCTTACAGTTTTGTGGTTCTTATATTCAAGCCCAGTTGGTTCAGGTTCAAAGGCACAGTTTTGAGGGGGAAAGGCTTTTAAAATACTCATAATGGACACACTGAAACAAAAAAGGAAACTTGTACTTAGTGGAAGACATATTTTAATTATGTCTAAAACTGGACTAACATTGACTAGAGACTGAGCTACAGATATGTTTATTTATTTATTAATTTAAAGGCACTCTAAAGGGATGCAGAGGAAAACCTGGACCCCACCCATCCCTGCTTTGTCCCCACAGGCTGCCAGAGCAGCAGGTCCTCACTGGTCAGATGAGGAGAGTCCCTGCCCCAAAGCCAATCTCCTTCCTAGCCGGTTTCTGGGAGACTCCTTTCTCTCCTAATGGCAGTTTTGTTGGAGTTCCTATTTCTCCTACCTTCTCCTGGCATTTTTAGTATGTACCCTTTCTGATATATTAACTTAGTCTAAATGAGTTGTAGTTCAGCTTTAATAGTAATATGAGCGGGCACCGGAGTAGCTCAGTCAATTGAGTACCAGGCTCGACCTCAGCTCAGGTCTTGACCTCAGGCTCCTGAGTTCAAGCCCTGCCTTGGGTTCCACACTGGGTGTGGCGCCTACTTAAAAGAAAAAATTAAAAAAGAGTAATACATGGATCACATAGGTTCTTCACACCATGTAATATGTTTGTGTATGTATAGGAAACGGTGCTCAGGACTATTGCTCTAGAAAGAAAAAAGATCAAATACCTACATGGTCATTTTCTTTAAAAGAAGTCTTAATTACCATAGTAATACATGCCCATCATAAAAGAATTCAAACAGTGCATAATAGTGTAAAGTTAAAATAAATCTACTTTTTGGGGTGCCTGGCTGGCTAAGTCGGTAGAGCTTATGACTCTTGATCTCAGGGTTATCAGTTTGAGCCCCACATTGGATGTAGAGGTTACTTAAAAATAAAAGATCACTGGGTGGTGGCTCAGTGGTTGAGAGGCATGATCCTGGAGTGTCAGGATCAAGTCCTACATCAGGCTCCCTGCATGGAGCCTGCTTCTCTCTCTGCTTGTGTCTCTGCCCCTCTCTGTGTCTCTAATGAATAAGTAAATAAAATCTTTTAAAAAATAGAAATCTACTTTTTGAGAAAATGTAACATGTTTGAATTGGACTTGTCTTAGGACAGCAATACCAGTTAATTTGGGACTATTCACTCTAGTATAATAAAATTGATAGTTCATTCCACATAGCTAAAAATTGGTACTTTCATCTATCCAATGGATATATATTTATATTTAAAGATTTTATTTATGTGACAGAGCATGCACTAACTAGCAGGGGGAGGGGCCAGGAGAGGGAAAGGGGGAAACGCAGGCTCCCTACTAAACAGGGAGCCCAATGTGGGGCTCCATCCCAGGACCCTGAGATCATGACTGAGATCATGACTTGAGCTGAAGGCAGACACTTAAAACTAAGCCACCCAGGTACCCTTCTGTGGATATATTTTTAAGATATATTTTTTAAGTACCTTCTGTGTATGGACACTTATCTGAGCACTAGGGGAACAGTTGAGCAAAATAGAATAGTTTTTTTTTTTTTTTTTTTGAAGATTTTATTTATTTATTCATGGGAGACGCAGAGAGAGAGAGGCAGGCAGGCAGAGGCACAGGCAGAGGGAGAGGCAGGCTCCATGCAGGGAGTCTCACATGGGACTCAATCCCGGGTTTCCAGGACCAGGCCCTGGGCTGAAGGCGGCACTAAACTGTCACTAGAAAGCAGATCTCCTGAGTAGAAATTATAACCCATAACAAAATCACATTCAGCTATTTTAATTTACCAGTTTGGTGCCACTCTCCATTTGTTTGAAAAATAAAACTTTGACTATCTTTGGGGATGGGGTAGCATTTAGTTTTCCATGGAAAACTAAATTATTTTCATGTATTTAGTCACTAGTTATGGTAAATGGTGCCTCTAATGGAAGGCCTCCTGTGGCATCAGGCAGGATGAAACTAGACAGTCTTCAGTAGAGAAAATATTAACTCTCAGACCTGCAAATAAGGGAGGGAGGCACAGGTTCTCCTGAACACTCAGTCACACAGGTGGTTGGGTTTTATCATCACAAAGACAAAGACTCCTAGCTTTGGAGCTGTCCCCCTGGTTGAGGGTTGACGGGAATGGAGGAGGGTGGTAAAGAAGAGAACAAACATAGTGGAGGAATAAATGATGGATATGTCATGAAGCTGAGTGTGCTGTGGGGAAAAAATAGGAAAGCCGTCTGAGCAGGATGAAGAATACTCCCAGGGCACATGGTGGGTGGGGAGAGGATGGGTCACAGTATTGACCAGGACAGTCAAGGTCAGCCTCTTTCAGAAGGTGAGGTCTAAGCAGAGGCTTGAAGGTGGTGAGTGAGACAAGTGGGATCTGGGGAAGAACTGTTTAGCCAGAGGCAAGAGCAGAGCAAAGGCCCTGAGGTGGGAGTTCTGACGTCTTCAGGACTAGCATAGGTGGCAAAGAGAGTGGTAGGGCCACAGGCAGATGTGAAAGGCTCTGAGGGCCATGACAAGGTCTTGGCTCTGGGTGAAATGGGGGAACCGTCTGTGGGCCTGTGAGCAGAGGGGTGATGTGATCTCACTTATAATTTAGAAGCATTACTCTGGCTGCTCTGTTGAGAATGGATGATTTGGGGGCAATCATAGCTAATTCCAAAGAGGTCAGCTGTATCCATCATGTTCATGGAATGAACAGTGTACCCTACAAAACCAGTCTGTTTTAAAACTACCTAAGGAGTTAACAGTTGGGCCCAGCACATCCCCTCTTATTTAATTTGTATGCCATTACTATCCACACTTGACAGGTGAGGAAAACTAAGATACAGAGAGGGCAGGTCACATATCCAAGGACACACAGCCACTCAATGGGAGATGGAGCTATGATTTGAACCCAGGTTGAAATGGGCTCCAGACCTTACATATTTAAATGCTACACTGTTTTAGGTATTTAATCTTAGGCAGTCTTCAGCTTACCCCCATTCGGATGTTGAGACAGGGCATCTCTAGAGCACCTGTCTTTTGATTTGGCTTCCTTCCGAGCCTTTCCCCAGCACCCTTTTTGTGTGGATTGTCCACAGCCATGAAGGCAGCTTCCTTCAGACCTCTTCCCCCTTGTGGTAGGTGCTAATTCCTGGGACTCTCAGGGTCTCTGTGTAGCTGTTGAAGCTGAGATCCACTTTCTGCTTCCCTGTGTTCAGTCTTAACCATTCTAGGGAAATTTGGGGTGATTAACGTTGTGTCATAGTTGCATAGACTCACATGGGCTGGCCTGGGAATGTCAGTTGCTTGTGAGGCATTGTTTCTATGAGGGGACACTGTGATTTGGAAATGAACTTTTAGAACACAGCCCCTGTGTATGCTGGGGACTCCTTGTCCTTTCTGTTCCCCAGGCTGAGCCTGCAGAAGTCAAGGCCCAGTTACCAGAACAGCTAAAGGGAACCATGCTAGACGGGTCTGCTTTTCCCATCAGGTAGATATACTAGCTGATTATTTTCCCTTCTCCACTCAGAGATGAGCATCAGGACTTTAAGGATGAGCAGCTGCGTCTCAAGAAGCTTCGTGGCAAAGGAAAACCTAGGAAAGGAGAAGGGAAAAGAGCCACAAAAAAGAAATAGTGCTGGTCCATCAGAAGAGAAAAGTTCTTCCTCAGCAGCTGACCACAGAAGAAGGTGTATTTATCTTTCTACTTGCTGGAGGAGTGTGAGCTTCTGAGACTGAAGAGTATTTGGAGGAACATGATCATTTCTGTGTTGAAGTCCAATTCAGTCGAGTTGTAACTGGTTCCTTGGACACTTTCTAATTCTGCAAAGTTACTCTGGCTTTGGTTTTATACTGTGAGGTTTACCTCTTTCTCTGGAGAAATGAATGCATAGGTGGTTGAAGACAGACTCCTTTGGGGTGGGAATGGAAGGTTGGGATCATGGGAGGAGACTCGTTAAATGAGCATTGTTTCATCTCCCCAGGATCCCATTACACCAGCCCTTACCTCTGCCATCCCTCTGGCCCTTCAACCACTGTCTCCACCACCAAGCTCACAAAGTTTCTGAACCGTCCACGTCTCCTTGGAGAGTAGAATCTACTGAGCTAGATTTGGGGGAAAGGCTGTACCTACTAAGAGAGTACTGAGTGTACACTACCTACTGTACATAAGGTACTGGGGCCCTAGTAATACCATGGTTAGCAAGAGAAAACAGTCCCTACCTCATGGAACTTTGAGGGTTGTGTGAAAGATTAATATCATTACATAAATAAAATTGTTTAAATGCTACAGAGGATCCCTAGGTGGCTCAGCAGTTTAGCACCTGCCTTCGGCCCAGGGTGTCATCCTGGAGTCCCAGGATCAAGTCCCACATCAGGCTCCCTGCATGGAGCCTCTTCTCCCTCTGCCTGTGTCTCTGCCTCTCTCTCTCTCTCTCTCTCTCTCTCTCTATCTATCTATCTATCTATCTATCTCTATCTCTCTGTCTCTCTGTCTCTCATGAATAAATAAATAAATAAAATCTTTAAAAAAAATGCTACAAAGGAAAAATCTAGACTTCTGTGAGAGCATGGACCAATCGATGGCTCAATCCAGAGATAGCAAGAAGCCCAAACCTGGGAAGTTTAAGGAAGGCCTCCCTAAAGAGATGGTGTTTAAGCTGAGCTTTTAAGGATGAGTAAGACAAGAGGGGGTGCCTGCCTGGCTCAGTAGTAGAGCATGTGACTCTTGATCTCCAGGTTGTGAGTTCAAGCCCAACTTTGAGTATAGGGCTTACACACACACACACAAAATTACTGGAGTGCCTAGCTGGTCTAGTCAGAGGAGCATACAACTCTTGGTCTCAGGGTTGAGTTCAAGCCCCATACTGGGTATAGAAATTAATAATGGGGCAGCCCAGGTGGCTCAGCAGTTTAGCACCACCTTCAGTCCAGGGCCTGATCCTGGAGACCCAGGATCGAGTCCCATGTCAGGCTTCCTGCATGGAGCCTGCTTCTCCCTCTGCCTGTGTCTCTGCCTCCCTCTCTCTCTGTGCCTCTCATGAATAAATAAAATCTTTAAAAAGGAAAAAAAGACATTAAAAATCTTAATTTTTAAAAAATTTTAAAGATAAAAATGATGGGAAAAGTGCACAAGAAAGCATCCTGTTCAAGGAACTGAAACAGAGCACTGACTATGGGTTTCACCCAGAAACAGCCCAGACCCTGAAGGATTTTGCAAGTTCTTTTTTTTTTTTTTTAAAGATTTTATTTATTCATGAGAGATAAAGGCAGAGACACAGGCAGAGAGAGAAGTAGGCTTCATGCAGGGAGCCCAATGTGGGACTCGATCCTGGGACTCCAGGATCATGCCCTGGGCCAAAGGCAAACACTCAACTGCTGAGCTACCCAGGTGTCCCTCTTTTTTTTTTTTTTTTTTTTTTAAGATTTTATTATTTGAGAGAAAGAGTGCAGTCATGCACATAATGCAAGTGGCAAAAAGAGCTGAGGGAGAGGGACAAACAATCTCTGTTCTGAGCACATAGCCTGATGGGCATGATGCAGGACTTGATCCCATGACCCTGAGATCATGACCTGAGCTGATATCAAGAGTTAGATGCTGGGACGCCTGGGTGGCTCAGTGGATGAGCATCTGCTTTTGGCCTAGGGCGTGATCCTGGAAACCCGGGATCGAGTCCCATGTCTGGCTCCCAGCATGGAGCCTGCCTCTCCCTCTGCCTGTGTCTCTGCCTCTCTCTCGGTGTGTCTCTCATGAATAAATAAATAAAATCTTAAAAAAAAAAAAGTTAGATGCTAACTGACTAAGCCACCCAGGGCCCCTCAGGGCTTTGCAAGTTCTGTGAAAAAGCCTGGACTTAACCAACTTGGCCAGTGTGTGAGGTGTTACTCCTTTGAGAGAGACTTTTGTATACACAAAAATAGCTCCTCAATTAACTGTATTCTAACAGTTTCCAATGAGGTTGTGAGGGCTTCTCTGATTTGTTGTTGTTGTTTGTTTCAAGTTTCAAAGATCTAGCCCTGTCTAGTACATTTTTTATTTTAAAGTACTTTTCTGTGATGTGATGAGCACTAGGTGTTATGGTATATGTTGGCAAATTGAACTTAAAAAAAAATACTTTTCTGTTGTAAAATTTACCATTTTAAGCACTTTTAAGCAAATAGTACAGTAGTGTTAACCACATGCACGTTGTCCTGCTAAAGTACTTTTTAACCCTGTTTCTGCCTCTCAGGAAAAGAGCAAAGTGCACAGGCAAGAGGACAAACAGCTACTGAAACTATGATTTTCTCTTCCTGTCACATTAGAAGTACAGGCAATAATTGCCCTGCCAATAATTCCTGAATTAGTAAGAGTCCCATTATATATGTTTTGATAAATTATTATTTTTAAAGATACATGATGCAGATGGTATGGCTAGGGCCCATATTATTGTCTTAAAAACTACTTAAAATTGGGTACTTTGTGTCTGACAGACATAACTTCAGCAGGGGACCGAGGATCCATCCAGTCACTGAGAACTTTTTCCTGAGCACTTTCCATGTGCCTGCCACATGCTAGTTCTAGAGGACACAGACAAGTAGACTTGTCCTAAGATTGTGTGAAGGACAGTGGTTTGTTTTAAGGCATTGGCAAGATCCCAGGGATTTGCTCACAAAAGTGCACACTTTGTTATTCTTGGCCAGTGCCCCTGAGCCAGGTGGGTGGAAGATTAACCCAGGACGTCGTGCTGAGAAAGGCTCTCGGCCTGAGCACAGTGTAGAACAACCCAGTGGATGTTTTGAGTTATACCATCTCCAACTTGTGGAGAAGGCTTGAATGGAAGGAGCTTGGAAGAATATTTTAAAGGGAAACTGAATCAGACACCAATAGATGACCTGAGTCAGAAAACAAGCAAAGAATCCGTGTGTTGGTTTGCTGCCGGCCCCTGAATGCACAGGGAACCTTAGCACTGATCGATAGGGAAGTCTGTAGACAACTTCACAGTAGATTAGTATGCCACTGCTGAAAATCAGAAACTATAACTAAAATTTATTTGTATATAAGGTGTGCCCTGAAACCCATCTGACACAGCAAATGCTACCTCACTTAAAATAGCCTGTACTGAACATGGTGGACCAGATGGAACACAGAGGATCAGAAAGAGGAGGTAAGTCTTGATGCCATAAAAGTAACATGTTTCAGGACACCAGCAACTGACCTTTAAGACGAGGACTGAGTGCAATCAGAAAAAATATACCTTTCACTGCAGGTGTAGGCTAGCCAGATGTTTAACTAGATTTTTCTGGTCAAGACCAAAACTATTTGTGTTTTCCCTCGAATGTTTGCTGTTTGGTGTGCATGAAGGATTTTGCCCTTGATTTCAATGTAGCCCTGGTAAAACAGACTGGGTTTGCAATTCCAAGGTCACAGGTTGAGATGTAGTTCTCCTCACCGGCCTTGTGACCTTCAGCCACGTAACCTTCACTGCATCTCCTTCTGTCTCTGTAAAATCATAGTAATGCTTCACTAGATTCATGAAATACTAAGATTTGTGAAAAGTATCATGGGAATGGTAAAAGAGCAACCAAGTTAGAGTTAGCATGTCTTCCCAGTAGATGCTTCTGAGGTACTGTTGACAAATACATGCAAAAAATATAAAATTCTCTGCATCTACAAGCAACACGACAGGTTCAGAAAGCAGTATATGGGAGAGGCATTTTATTATTTACATAATCATGAGTTCCAGAAACTCACTTTTTAAAAAGCATCATATAGGGAACCCTGGGTGGCTCAGTGGTTGAGCACCTGCCTTCAGCCCATGGCGTAATCCTAGAGTTCTGGGATTGAGTCCCACATCGGGCTCCCTGCAGGGAACCTGCTTCTCTCTCTGCCTGTGTCTCTCATGAATGAATAAATTTTTTAAAGTCTTTAAAAAAAAGCATCATATGTGTGTGTATACACAAATACATATAAGCATATAAAAATAATGCTTTTACTTGTAAAGCACCTTCTGGAAAAGGATAAGTTGAGAATTGAACATTCCACCCTCTTCAGCCTTTCCTTTTTTCTTCACACATTTCCCCCAAAGCTTCTAAGTGCCTAATTTTAGAGATTTAGAGGCAGGAACAAACTTCAAAGGAAATAGATCGAGGGAAATGTCTTTTAAACTGCCAACTCCGTCTTCATAGTCCTTTTTCTTAACTACTCATTTATAAGTTCAAAAGAAAAGCATTTCTTAAAAAAAAAAAAAAGATGGAATCAATAAAACAAACAGTAAAGCATAAGAAGACTTAGTAAAAAGGAAATAAACTAGTAAAGCCCAAGGTATTAAGAACTAGAAAACCAGTAAAACATTTGTGCTGAACTTAGAACTGAAATGTTTTTTAAGTGACAGCAAGGCAACAAGAGAGGAGGATCGTGAAACTGGGGGGAAGACTGGCCACAGAAAGTATCCAGATGCAGTTTTTTAACTTAAATGGAGGTCTGGTAATATTATAAGTTCACGTTAAAGTAGACAACAGAACTAAACCAATGTAGATCCTAAGACCTTTTTCATTCTACTTACATGTGTTTTCTTTTTCTTTTTTTAAAAGATTTTATTTATTCATGAGAGACAGAGAGAGAGGCAGAGACACAGGCAGAGGGAGAAGCAGGCTCCATGCAGGGAGCCTGACTTAGGACTCGATCCCAGGTCTCCAGGATCACGCCCTGGGCTGAAGACGGCGCTAAACCGCTGAGCCACCCGGGCTGCCCTACATGTGTTTTCTGAGACAGGATAGATTCATTGATGGAGAGTTTTCTATGTCTATTACAGGAGCTCCTTATTGACCATCTAAATTGGTGGTTAGTCCAAAATATCTTCCTAAAAGAGCCACAAAACTAACCGACCTATTGCATGTAGCATAAAAAGAACATTCTCAACAAACTGAAAGTCTTAGGACACAGGTCAAATCTAAAAGTCTGAGTATATCTAGTATGAGAACAGACCAGTGCATTAAACACCAAGCAAATTAAATATAAGGGCAGCCCGAGTGGCTTAGCGGTTTAGCGCCACCTTTGGCCCAGGGAGTGATCCTGGAGACCTGGGATCGAGTCCCATGTTGGGCTCCCTTCGTGGAGCCTGCTTCACAGGCTTCTCTGCCTGTGTCTCTGCCTCTCTCTTTCTCTCTCTGTGCCTCTCATGAATGAATGAATGAATGAATAAATAAATAAACAAATAAATAAATATTTTTTAAAAAATTAAATATAAATGCTTAATAAAGTTGTAGAGATCAATGCAATGGAATCACCAAGAATGACCTCATAAGCAGTGAAAACAATGAATGCAAGTAATGTCAGCATTTTTGGAGCACTAACACACGCCCAGCATTGCACTTTGTAGGCCTCATGTAATTTCTATATGGTAAGTATCCATTTTACAGTTGAGAAAACTGAGGCTTAGGTCTTCTGCCCAGGATAATGCAGGTCTAAGTGTAAGACTGAAGTTTAAATCGGAGTCTCTTGACTTCAAAGCCTGTACCACCAATCACCACACTGGTACAGGTGGGATCCTCACAAGCAGAGAGGGTTACAGCAGATTGCATGTGCAAAGAAAGACCCACAAACTGTAGAACTCTGGTTGACAAGAGCTATAATGAGCACGGCCTTGCCACTTCAGAGCCATAACCTAATGAACCCTAAAGTTCCCAGTGTCCTTTTATGACCTGGCAGTGTAGCACTGATCTTTCGGAGTCTGAAGATGATTATGACAATGCCATTTCCCCAATGTTTTCCCATTTGCTAGGAACTGTGTGTAAGTCTGTAAGTTATACCACTTAATTCTTACAACAGCTCTATGAACTGAGTATTCTCTTCCCCATTCAATAGGTGAACTGAAGTTTACAGCTGTGCTTCTCAGCTGTGGCCATGCATTAGAATCCACTGGGGGAGGTTTGAACCCTTGCTGGGTTCTGCTCCAGACCAACCCGAGTTGGGGCAGGGAGAGAAATTACTTAAGCATTGTTTTTATTTTTGTTTTTAAGTAGGCTCCATGCCCAGCATGGAGCCCAACTCGAAGTCTGAACCCAGAACCCTGAAATCAAGACCTGTGCTGAGATCAAGAGTCAGATGCTTAACAGACTGAGCCACCCAGGCACCCCAAGTATTGGTATTTTTGAAAAGGTCCTCAGGTAGCTCTTTATGCAGCCGAAGTTAAGAATCACTGGCTTAGGGGTACCTGGGTGGCTCAGCTGGCTAAGCATCTACCTTCAGTTCAGGTCATGATCTCTGGGTCTTGGGATCGAGCCCCATGTCAGGCTCCTTGTTCAGCAGGGGAATCTCCCTCTCTCCTTCTCCCTCTGTCCCTTCCTGCCACTTGTGCGTGCACGCGCTCTCTCTCAAGTAAATTAAAAAAATCTTTTAAAAAATAAAATAGAATCACTGGCTTAAAACAGGATGGAACCAGCCTGGTGACCAGCTGACTGGGGCAACTGGTCTGACAGGTGGCAAATCCTGAAGGAGTAGGAAGGGCTAGGTCCCTCTGGGACTCTAGCCACTTACTAAGTCAGCCAGGGAGCATCAAGGTGGCTGGTGGGCAGAGCACAGGTAGAGGCAAGGCCTCAGGCAGAGTGCAAATCCCACACAGGATGCAGGAAAACAACAGCAAGGTGACCCCCTGACAGAGAAGGACGGGCAGCAGCCACCAGTGTGATGAGGGGGCTCCAAGGAGCAGGAATATCACTGCCATAGGAATATCAAATGTGGATATAAAATGTTAGGATTCAGTAAAGGGAAAGTAAAAATTAACTCACGTAAATCTGATGTGTACATGACCTTTTAGAAATACACATAAAATATAAAAATTGGGATTTGCCTATTCACTGTTTGCTTTCTTTGGGCATTCTATCTTTCTTTGCCCTTCACTCAGCTTTTGGTGGGAGACCAGTAGGAGTAAAAGCATGTCTGTCCTTCCCAGTGGCACAAGACCTATCCCAGTCAATCCGTGTGATTCCTTAAGGCTCAGAGGATGGCTCAGCGCACCTGCAGCAGGATCACCACCAGAGCTCCTGAGTCAGCAGGCTGGGATGCAGCCTAGGCATCTGCATTTCCAACAAGCCCTTCCAGGTGATTAAAATACAATTGAAAAAAAAAAAGAAAAAACAAAAAACAAAAAAAAAAAACAATTGAAAGCATGAGAATCCCTGCTTTGGGATTTCCGATGGAAC